TCCAGTCCAATATACAATTCAATAAACATTAATGAGGGCCTACAATATGCCAGGCACTGTGCTAAATACTGGGGATACGATTAATAAAAAGAAAAATAGTCCCTGCCCTCAATGAGTTTACAATCTAAAAAAGGAGCCAAAACACAAAAGGAGGCAGGAAAGTAGGGGCAACTTAGGACACAGGGATATCCCTGAGTGGGGCATCTTGCTCCATGCAATTAAAAACAGGCAATGCAGCAGATGTAAAGTGGAGTGATGTGAGTCCAGTTTACACCCTCTATAAATGAAGGCATTGAGAGGAATTTGATATTACACCCTGCAGTCCTCCAAACAGAGCAGAGAGAATGCTGAGGGAAGTGGTGTCAATGAAGGTTTGAGTTATCAGCACGGTAGAAACATTAGAAGTGATGAGCTCATGGAGTAGAACCAGACAGGGCAGGAGATGAAAGGAAGAGTAGCTAACATGCCAGAATATTTATGTAACTATGCAAAGAGAACCCAGCTGGGGACTTCTCAGATTACTAAGTGCCAAAGTAGGAGATGGGGGGTGGGCAGGAGGGCTTATAGGAGACTTGGGACAAGTGTGGTCTCCAATACCACATTGTGACATGTCAAGACCACAGCTGGGGAAGAATCAATTTTCAATTATGGATTGTACATGGATAAGAAGACAGAGTTTAGCAGAGGCCAGAATCTGCAATGGAACGTCAAGAGGTTGAACAAGAAGCCAGAGAATGAGGCACAGAATGGAGGCTAATATTAGCCATTCCAATCAAATTGGCTTGGAAATACAGGAGCAAATAAGGCCTCCCCAACTCTGTTAAGAGTGCTAGAGGGGACTAGCCAGGACGTGAAATCTCCAAACCAAGAACTGAGGTTCTAAATATGAGCAAACAGAAGAAAACACAAAACACAAAGAAGAAATACATTGAGTTAAGAGATGCCCAAGAGGTAAATACAGAAGAAATGAGTAACCTTAAAATAGCCATAAGAAGAATCTCAAAGAAAATAAAACTCTTGGCCTTAAGACCTACAACAATGGCTGGAAGAAATGAAACAAGAAAGAAAAAATGAAATTATAAATGAAGTGAGGTCAGGAACCAAAAAGAAAGGAAAAGAGAATAAAAAGCTTATAATACAAGATGGAAGAAAAGAATTCAATAACATCATGATATAAAATATATTAGAACTAAGTTAAAAGTGGTATAAAAATGTGAAGACAAAAACTGGCCTGAAAGAGAGATCAGTGACAGATAATTTAAGAATCATAGGAGTATCTGAAAACCCTAAACATAAAAAAGTCTAGTTGATATCATTCAAGAAATGTAAATGAAAACTGCCCAGATTTATAAGAATCAGAAGGCAAAGTGAAAATATAAATAATTACTTCCTATTAAAAATCCACAAATACTCAGTAATGTCATAGCCAAAATACATGGCTTCTAAGTCAAATATAAAATACTTAAACAGACAAGGAACCAACCTCAGGATCACATAAGACTTAGCAACTTCTTGGAAGGGGAAAAAAAAAACCCTTAGAATATGCTATTCAAAAAAGCAGAGGAGGAAGACATAACCAAGGAGAACTAACTTTGAAAAATTGAATATTATCCTGCCAGGGGAAAAATGCACCTTAAAAGGAATAGAGGAAAGCGAGGCCAAGATGGTAGAGTAAAAGCAGGGACTCACCTGAGCTCTTCCCCAAACCCCTCTAAATACCTTTATATAATGACCCTAAACAAATTCTAGTGCAGCAGAACCCTAAAAAGAGAGTGAAGCAATTTCCAGCCTGACAGCTTAGACAGTGGGCAGGAAAGATCTGCTGCACTACAGTGAGAGAGGAGTGCAGTTCAGCATAGGCCATACCAGTGCAGATCTGGCCCTAGCAAACCAGGAGCAGGCCTTAGGGCAACTAAATTAATGGCAGTGGTGGTGTTTCCCAGACTTCTCAGACCACAGATGGTAAGGGGCTTGGAAAACAGGTCAGAAAGAGATTTAGAGGGGTCCTTTTGCTGGCACCAGGGGCAGGACTCTGTTGCATTGCTTATACTTGAATCTAGGTCACAGTGCTGAGTCAGTACCAGTGCAAGGAGGAGCACTAGCAGGGCAGAGCTTGCAGACACATGGTAGCAGGGACCTTAGTCACAGTTCCAGGATTGAAAAGAATGCTTGTGGTCACTCACAGACCAGTGCACAGTACAGGAGAATAGTAAACACACCTCTCTCTATTTCTTATCACCTTGGAAGAGTCAGAAACTTACAGGTTCCCGGAATTACCTATGAGAACAGCTGCACAAAAAAACCTGAAGCTTGGGACAGTGACTTCTCCACTTAGGAAGCAGAGCTCCACTTTAGCATAGAGTTAAAAGTCAAGAAATAGGCTTGAAAATGAGCAAACAACAACAGAAAAAAATTCTGACCATGGAAAGTTACTATGGTGACAAGGAGGATCAAAACACATTCAGAAGAAGACAATGAAGTCAAAATTCCTGAAAGAATCCTGAAAGAAGAATATGAATTAGTCTCAGGCCATGGAATAGCTCAAAATAAGATTTTAAAAATCAAGTAAGAGAGGTAGAGGAAAAATTGGGTAGAGAAATGAGAGTGTTGCAAGAAAATAATGAAAAAAGAGTCAACGTTTGGTAAAGGAGCCATAAAAAATACTAAAGAAAATAATATCATAAAAAATAGAACAGGCCAAATGTTGTAAAAAAGGCACAAAAATCCAAAGAAGAGAAGAATTCTTTGAAAAAACTGAATGAATGAAATGGAAAACGAGATACAAAAATTTAGTGAAGAGAAGAACTTAAAAAGTAGAACTTGCCAAATGGAAAAGGAGGTACGAAAGCTCACTGAAGAAAGTAATTCCTGGAAAGTTAGAATTGAGTAAGTGTAAGCTAATGGCTTTATGAGACATCAAGAAACAATCAAATAAAATGAAAAGAATGAAAAAACAAACAAGAAAATGTGAAATATCTCATTAGAAAAACAACTGACTTGGAAAATAGATGCAGGAGAGATAATTTAAAAATTATTGGACTACCTGAAAGTCACAATCAAAAAGAGAGCCTATACATCATCTTTCAGTAAATTATCAAGGAAAACTGCTCTCATATTCTAGAAACACAGGCTAATATAGAAATTGAAACAATCAACCAATCATCTCCTGAAAGAGATCCCAAAATGAAAACTCCCAGGAATATTATAGCAAAATTCCAGATCTCTCAGATGAAGGAGAAAATATTGCAAGCAGCCAAAAAGAAACAGTTCAAATATCATGGAGCCACAGTCAGGATAACACAAGAGTTAGCAACTTCTACATTAAAGTATTGGAGGGCCTGGAATAGGATACTGCAGAGAACAAAAAAACTAGGATTACAACTAAGAATAACCTACCCAGCAAAACTAAATATGATTTCCTTTGACCTAGCAATACCACTTCTAGGTCGTATCCCAGTGTTCATACAAATGGGAAAAGGACCCACACGCACAGAAATATTTATAGCAGCTCTTTTTGTGGTGGCAAAGAATGGGAAATTGAGGGGATGCCCATGAGTTGGGGAGTGGCCCAACAAGTTGTGATATGTGAATGTAATGGAATACTATCATGTGTATAAGAAATGATGACCAGGTGGACTTCAGAAAAACCTGGAAAGACTTATATGAACTGATGCTGAGTGGAATGAGCAGAACCAGGAGAACATTGCACAGCCACAATGTGTGATGACTAACTTTGATAGACTCATCTCTTCTTAGCAATGCAAAGACCCAAGTCAACTCCAAAGGACTCATTATAGAAAATGTTCTCCACATCTAGAAAAAGAACTATGCAGGTCAAAGCATATTTACTCTCTCTCTCTCTCTCTCTCTCTCTCTCTCTCTCTCTCTCTCTCTCTCACTTTTGAGAATGAACTGAGTAAAAGGAGAGAGTAGGATAAATGGGGGAAAATAGAATAGAGGGAAATGCAGCTAGTAATCATAACTGTGAAAAAATATTTTACAGTGAGTTTCTTTGATAAAGACAATTTCTCAAACATATAGAAGACTGAGTCAAATTTATAGAAATAAGAGCCATTCCTCAGTTGACAAATGGTTAAAGAATATGAACAGGCAGTTTTCAAAGTAATCAAAGCTATCTATAGTCATGTGAAAAAAAATACTCTGAATCACTATTGATGATAGAAATTCAAAGTAAAACAACTCACACCTGTGAGATTGGTTAATATGACAAAAAAGGAAAATGACAAATGTTGGAGGGGATGTGGGAAAATTAAAATACTAATGTACTATTGGTGAAGTTGTCTACTGTTCAACCATTCTGGAGAGCAATTTAGAACTATGCCTCAAAGGGCTATAAAACTATCCATACCCTTTGGCCAAGCAATACCACTACTAAGTTTATCCCAAAGTGATAAGAAAGGAAAGGAAAAGGACCTATGTGTACAAAAATATTTATAGCAACTTTTTTCAGTGGTAGTAAAGAATTGGAAATTGAGGGAATGTCCATCAATTAGGGAATGACTTAAGAGTTGTTGTATGTAATTGTGATGGATTACTATTTGGCTTTAAGAAATGATGAGCAAGATGCTCTCAGAAAACACTAAAAGACTTAAATGAACTGGTGCAAAATGAAATCAGCAGAACCAGGAGAACACTGTATACAGCAACAGCAATATTGTATGATGACTACTATGAACAACTTAGCTGTTCTCAGTAATACAATGATCTAAGACAATTCTGTTATGATGAAAGATGCTGACCATCTCCAGAAAAAGAACTGGTAGAGCCTGAATGCAGATCAAAGATACTTTTTCTTTACTTTCTATATTTTTCTTTTTTTTTTGTTCTCTTTTCTTTCACAAAATGACTTACATGGAAATGTATTTTACATGACTACACATGTGAAACTATAATAATTGGAGACCTCATTGTGCCCCTTCAGTTCCTTCTTTGGAATTGGATCTTATTTAAACAAGATTGTTTTGTGTTTCTCATTTCAGGAAATAAGGATGATGATGCTTGTGCTAACATAGTATAGTGGAAAGAAAACATCCAGCAACTGGAAGACCTGAAATGGAGTCCTGGCTTTGGTACTTACCATGTGACTTTAGCTTAATGATTATCTAAAAAAAATAAAATTAAGAGATGAGAAAAAAGAAGGGGAGAAGGGGAGAGGGACAGGTGGAATGGGATAAATTACCTGACATAAAAGAAGCCTGAAGGAGATTTTACAGTGATGGGGAAAATGGGAGAAGTGGGGGGGGGGAGCACACTTAAACTTTCTTAAGTCACTTAAACTTTCTGTATTTCAACTTCCTCAGCTGTAAAATGGGTATGCTTCTGTCGTGTACTTTATAAATATGTTGCGAAGAAAGCGTATTATAAACATAAAGCATCATATACTATACATGTAAGGATAATAATGATGATGTTATTGCTGTTGATGATAAATATATGTCAAAAAGGACTTTCTGCTTAGGTTTTTTTATATTAAAAATATAACAGTGAATGCCAAAAGTGGAAGTAAGATGAATGTAGCTCCTTCCCTCCTTTCCACTCCCATCCCTCCCTTCCTTTCTCCTATCTGCCCTGTCCTGCCCTGCCCTTCCACTCTTCTGTTGTAGAATTCCCCCCCCCCCGCCCCATTTCCTTGGCTATGTACTTTTGAAAGCACCACAAACTCTTCCCAGCAACCTATTGCCGAGACCCATAGAATTATATTCCTTTTGCAAAGCTCATAGAATCACAGCTTGTTAGTGATAGATAGGACTTCAGAGATCTTGTCTTAGAGGCAGCATGGTTTAAATATGGACCTGGCATCAGAAATACGGCAGGATTCAAATCCTTCCTTAAACCATTAATTGCTTTATGTCATTGGGCAAGTCATTTAACTCTCTAGGTATCCTCAGTTTCCTCATCTATAAAATTATAGAGTTGGGTTCAGTGGGTATAAGATCTTTTCCAGTTTTAGATCTCTGATCATCTGAGTTTCTCTATTTTATACATTAGGAAACTGAGACCTAAAATTTTTGACTTGCACCATGACATATCACTACCTAATCAGCATTAGAACAAAGGTTTCCAATGGGGCAGCTACATGGCGCAGTTGATAGAGCACTGGCCTCAGACCAAACATTTGTCACTTTACTAGCTGTGTGACCCCAGGCAAGTCACTTAACCCCAATTGCCTACAAAACAAAACCAAAAAAACCCAAAAACAAAAACAAAGGTTTCCTGACTTCACAGGCTATCTCATCCAAACATTCCATTTTATAGATGAGGATACTGAGGCCTAGGTAAGTTAAATGGCTTATCTGAGGTCATACAGGTACAGTAGTGAGAATGAGAGGTGGCATTTGAGCCCAGCACCTCTGACTCTAGAGTTAGTGATCTTTCCATATTCCATTTTGACTCCTATGCCAACCTCTTGAATTATGCTAGCATCAGACAGATTTTATTCTTTTGTTTTTACTCTTCCTTCCACCCCACTTAATATTATTTTTCTCTTCCCCTCCTTTCCCCCTCCTTGTGTGAAGTCAGTTCTGGCTAACCAGATTCATTGTGCTCAGTTCCACTGGGGAACATTCGGGCCCTAAGCACATCATATATAAAGACTATGCAGAGCCAATGGGGCTGGTTAAGCTATCCCAGAAGAGGCAACACCAGTGTTTGTTGTGTACAGGCCAGGTGAGATCTGATTTAACAAAGAACTAACTCTGTCCCTGGAAAATTCACTCAAGAGGGACTTTTATTTCTCACCTCTAGGGCTTGGGCTCAATCCCTTTAGTATAACTAACTCTCTTCAACAAATTGAAGAGACTCCTCCCTTGGGATGACCTCCAGGCCAAGGCAATGATTCTTCCATCCTTAACTCAGCATCAGCGTCAGAAACTTATTGACTTAGCTCTCCATCAAGTCCTTAATTTTTTTAAGGACAGAGGAAGTAGATCAGAGTGATTGTATCTAGCCTGACCATAAGGGATATAGTGCTGAACCTGGAGTCAGGAAGACCTAGGTTCGAATTCTAAGTTTGATACATACTTATTGTAAAACCACGTGCAAGTCACTAAACCTCTCTTGGTCTCTTTCCTCATCTGTAAAATGGGGACAATAATAGCTTACCTGAGAGGGTGTTTGTGAGCTTCAAATGAAATAGCAAATAAAGTCTTTTGCAAACTTTACAATGCTATATAAATGTCAACCATCATTATATTGGTGTTGTTGCTGCTATTTTAGATCAGAGAACTTGAAAGGGTTTAAATACTAAATCATAAATGGATGCTTATTATTTAGGCAAGTCACTTAACCTCCACCTGATTCAGCTTCCTCACTTATACAATGAGGAAATATGGGGATAATAATGCCACCTACCTCCCAGAGCTTTTAAGAAAATGAGAAAATCATTGTAAAATGCATTACAATCCTTAAAGCACTATATAAATACTAGCTATCATTATTATTATTTTTATTATTATCAGTCCATACTAATATAGTGAATTTCCACCCTGGGAGTTTTTCATACTAAGTAAATTACAGATCCTTCTCCTATATCCCAAAAGTACAAGCTCAGATTTCCATCTTCTGTGACTGACTTAGATGATCAAACCTGGGGATCTCATGCTCAGATAATGTCCAAAAGGAGAAAGGCCAAGTTAAATTTCCTTCTGATCTAGAATAGGAGGTGGCATGATGAGAGAGGGGGGGGAAATCAATATTTGTCCAAAAGATGATAAATGTTATGGGCAGTTCTATAATTCTGAAATGCTGTGCAAAGGTGTTTGGGAGGTGGAATGCAAATAATAGAAGAGGAAAAGAAATAGCTTCGGAATCATCTTTAAAGGTTTTGTACCAGTAAGAGCCAAATTCATCTTTTGATATATTCAAGCATGCTGTGTAAATAACACATGAATTTCCTATAATTATTATATGCAAGCAAGTGGTTATACCTTGAAATATAACCTATTTTGCAGGTTTGTGCCAGAGTCTAAGGATGCTTTGCTGCCTGGCAAAATACTGCAGCAGTAGCAGGGTATCAGCAGTCCTGCTATTTAATGGAGCCTTTATCACCACATAAATGGTTGGGATATCATCTGCTTCAGGAGATCAAATTGATATGCTACCCCTGTGTCTGTTTAAAATGCCATCATTGGGGCTGCTTTGCTCTCTTTGGAATTTATTTTTCTCCCTTTGGTGAGGAGGAAGGGGTTGGAGGGAATTGCCCCAGTTGACTTACAACTGCTTCCTCACAAGCAAACTGCCTATGAGAGGGAACACATGAATCATTTACAATTTTATAACTTGGTGCCATCGAGTGTGTGGAAATGGAAATGGCACTGAGAGAGTGGATAAACAGGCTTGTAGGGCTGCAGCTGTTGGGGCAGATGTGTGGTGCTGTGCTCACAAGAAGATTTCCGTCTAGGGAAGATGGATCTCAGGATTCTGATGACGCAGCACTGGGAGTAAATACAGGAGGGATATTGAGGGATTTTTTTGTTCTACAAAGGACTGCAAACACTGTGCTCAAGAAATGATAACAGCAAAGACTATACCTCTCTTCTTTTTTTCCAGTAGGATGGTATTTTGCATATTCAGAAGAGACATGCACCTTTAATTGTGACATTTTTGCAAGGTAACATTTTATGTGAAGCTCATTAACTACTTCCTTAAGGTGGAAATCTGATGAATGTGGTTACAATCCTCAGCCCCACTTTCTACATAGATAATAAAACACAGGCATTAAATTGTAATAAAGAAAATGACGAAACTAAAACTACCGTTTAATCACCATGCGACCAAACCCACGGAAAACAATAATTTCACAGATGGAAGGTTAAATTAATTTCAACCAAACGACTTCAGTGCAAAGTGGAAGCCTGTAAATGAATAGGCAATCATGTGCTTTGAGAGAATTTTTGTTTTTCTTTTTAATTTCACAGACACAGGGTCTTTTTGTTTACACTTAGCAAACCCTGAGGCCCTTCAAAGTCCATGAGTTAGGTGTAGAATACACTGTTTTTCTCTATATACTTCTTCATTTTCATATCTCATGTTTAAATTAAAATTTTGCCATTCAGTTAAAAAAAAGATCTTTTCCTCATTTGAAACCACAGTGACAAGAAGAGTAATATTGTAATGATAATAATGATAATCAAAATAATTGTTGACATTTACTTATTGCTTTTTGCAAGGTGCTTTACAAACATCTTGTTTTATCCTTACAACAACTCTGGGAGGTGGGTGCTACTATCATTGTGCTCATTGCACAAACGAGCAAACTGAAACAGAGAAGAGCAAGTGATTTGCCCTAGATCAAACAGCTAGGTTTGAATTCAAGTTGTTCTGTATCCAGGGTCATCACTCTATTCAAATGTCAATTCAAAATCGACATTTTCAATACGTTTATTCTGAATGCAACTATTGAGACAGTATTCGGTAATAAACATGTAGTGAAAATCTTCCATCTATGTTCATTCCTTTGTAAAGAGGAAAGGGATAGGGATTGAAGGGAGGTTTGGGAAGTCCTTCCCTCCTGGCATTTACTGTTCTAGGTTCAATTGCTCACAGCTGCCTTTGATATTTTCAATCAGAATTCACTTATATAAAAATCCTAGCTAGGGAAATGCTTGTTCTCCTGCTCCAGCACACCTCTACCCACCCACCATAGAAAAAGGAACTCTATTTTAGCCATCATCCTGTGGGCCACTCCCTATTACAGCCAAGTGCATGGCCAGATTTCCAATCTCCCTGTTTTCCTAAGCTTCTTATTCAGGTCCAATCAGTTGCCAAATCTTCTATCTTCACAATCTCTCTCTCTCTTACCCTTTCCCTTCTCTCCACTCAAGTAGCCATCACTCCAGCTTGGGTCACATTGTTATGGTCCAATGGATCTGACTCCAAAACTCCAACACTTTTGATTCTTTTGTACATTGTTGGGGAAATATAGTGTGACTTTTCCTTGGGGGGAGAAAAAAACAATCCAATAGGCAGAAGACTTTAAGAAAATCTAGGAAGCTGAATGGGAGGCTGAAATGAGAAGCCAAAGAAACAAAACCTACAGTGAATTCCAGGAGTGGCCCAGAGGGTAACAATAGGTTTAATTATATATTGTTCACCACTCATAACCATGGAAGCAAAAGAAATTAAACAAAAATACAACTACAGTATAGACACTACCTTCTAGACCCAAGTAACTGCAAGTTAGTCCACGAGCACATCCTTCAAACGTAGGAGTAC